CCAAGCTCAAGCTCAGAAGCAGCTCATAAGCAGTGGCAGAACCCTCCGAGCCCTGCGCGAGGAGAACAACTCGGCCTCCGTTCTTCACGACCGTGTTGGCCGCGGACATACCTGCTCGGGCCAGTGCTCAGGGACTTTCGGGGGATGGCTGGGATTCGAGCTTCCGATCAGGGTTGCAAATTCATGTGTCAGCAGTTAAGGGTGCAGCGCACTGGTCCCAGGAAGATTCGAAAGAATGAGTTTATGTGTGTCAATGAGTATAAGTTCTTGGCAATCTCACATGCTATGTTCTACAAAGCCCAGGCAGTCAGCGCTTGTGCAAAGGGAAGCCTCCAACGACTCCTGACAGTGCAACACATCCCACAAAGTGTCTGATTGAGGTGCCTCGAGACCCGCAAACCCGTTGTTTGCTCGATCCACCACCACACCTGGCCAAGTGGGTTTGCGGTGGCCGAAAGTGAATAGTCCTAGTACTGCAAGGAGGCGTGGCTATCGGTGGAAGAAGGCGCCTGCTGGGACGCGAATGCTGTACCTCGGAGAACCATGCCGGCTACTGCTGAATGTGGCACATCTTGGCAATTCGCGCCACGACTAGCTCAGACAGACTCTAATGTCTCTACACAGATGTTATTGCAAGACAGTGACGAGACCACGACCACGACCATTACGGTCACGACGACGAGGATGGCGCCGACGACTGATCACCACTACGGCGACACAAACAGGTGCTGTTGAATGTTCTCGTAGCTATCACACATTATGATGACGATGCTGTTGCTGCTGCTGTTGCCGCTCCTCCTCTGCCACTGCTTCTGCTGTTGTTGCTGCTGCTCATGCTACTCCAAGTCTTTTTGTTTAGATTTCAGGGTTTGTCTCTAGGGTCAAGTTCATGGCCAACAACCTGGAGCAAAAGGCTTTTATACGCAGGCATTGAGGGCACCCAGTTTTGCTGACCCACTGCTCAGTTCGGCGGCTGCTGCTTCTTCTCCGAACCTGAAGGCTGTGGAGGAGGTTGGGGGTTTAGGTTTTAGAGTTTCGGCTCTAGAGCTTAGGGCTCTAAGGATCTAGGGTTTGGAAGTTTTACCCTCGGGGTGCAGGGTGAGCTAGGGCTTTTGGGCTTTTGGTTTTGTGAAAAGGGAATCCCATCCACGACCGAACCAACCCGTCTAAAGGGAATCCCATGCACGACCGCACCAACCCGTCTTTGTAGGCACTGAAACTCAGATCGCGAGACGGGCCTACATGGGTTTGGGGTTTAGGGTTAAAGCGAAACAGGCGTTGGAAAAATCAAGGGACCAGAAGGGACCCTAACCAACCAACCAACCAACCAACCCACCGACCGACCGACCGACCAACCGACCGACCGACCGACCGACCGACCGACCGACCAACCACAACAACGACAACAACAACAACAACAACAACAACAACAACAACAACAACAACACCAACACCAACAACAACAACAACAACAACAACAACAACAACAACAACAACAACAATAACAAAAACAACACCAACAACAAC